AATTACAGTTGTGTTAAATGTTTCCAAGGAAAATGCACAATGTGCAATGGAAACGTATATCACAGTCACCTTCATGTAGTCTTTGAGGTGGGAGCAAAGCATCCACACTTGGGAAGAGAAAGTTAAGATGGGATTGAAGGATGCATGTAAGACAGCGTGTCAATAAAGGAAGAGCGCCTACCTTAACTACCTGGGTGTGATAGAGCTTGACAGATCCAGGAAAACAAATGTGACCAGAGATGAGTAAGTTAGGAATGCAGAATAACAGCTGGAGATAGTCCCAACGCAGGCTGAGTAATGGAAGTCCTGGCYTACTAAAATAAGTGACAGCCCAGACTCCACTGTGAGTTTAGTGCTAGTTTGGAACTGGTTCTAGTGAAAGGGTTTCTCTTGTCTTGTGAGGAGTTCTGCTTGGTTCATTGGTTTAGATAATTGGGTGCTTATGATATTCTTGGGAGAGACTTACGGAATGGCTGGAATCCTGTGATGAAACCACAGTATTGGATTCCATTCTGTGTTGCCTGACCTTCCCACGTGTGGGCCACCTGCCATCACCATCTGTGGCTCCCCACTCTTTGACAGTATCTCTGTCCCCTTGGTCCTAGTTGGCAGATGAGTTCACTCCCAGATGCCTGCCTCATTCTTAGTGTCATCTACCTTTCAAGTCTCTGTTTTTCAGCAATGTCTTGTTCCAGAGTCTACTAAAGCAAGCTCTTGTTCTCATGTGGTACTGTGAAGGTTTCATCTGCCTCTGTATATCCTGACCTTCAAATCACTGAACATCTATAAAATTGTGTTAAAGAAATGCAGGAAATCCACTCTTCTCACATCAATATTTGTAAATGCATTGAATATCTCACTAAATCCTAAACATCTCACTAAATTCTCAATATAGGGTGAAATCATCTCATGAAACTTGAGAATATTGAAGTTTTGAAATCCATTTTGAAAAAAAAATGAGTTTCTGAGCTCAGAGAATCTATCAGGCAATATGAATTCAACAGGCATTTCTTTACTGCATCCTGTGTGCAAATCATTTGTTTCTTGTAAGCTCTGGGGTTACAGCAGGAACAAAAACAAAGATCCCTCCCTCATAGGTCTTCTATTCTAGTGAGGATCTTAGCTAGTAATTGTGTAGCTGTTTGGCAGAGCCATTGCAGTGAAATACAGGGATGCTTCTGGCTCTCAATCTGAGCTCTGGTGAGGCATAAAGGGAAATCAGACTTTAGGATCATTATGTGTGATCAAGCCGACAGTTGCTGAAAGAGAAATTTATACTCCCTGTGAACCAGTAGATTCTTAAAATCATAGTGGGAGTGAACATTGTGACTCCTTTGAGATGCTGACTATGACTTTAGGGTCACCCATACTAAGCCTCATGCATTTCTACATCTTTTTTTTTTCTTCTCTCACATTTTTCTGTCCTCCCCTCCCCAAATGTTCATAGGTTGCAAGTGACACAAAACAATGAAACAGTTTTCCATTCTGAGGATCATCTAGGTCTACACTGTGTCCTTCCCCAAGTGCCTAATGTTAATCTCACCTTTACTTCTCTGAGTCTTTTCTGTACATTAACAATCAAGGAAGGGACACTTGGAAATTAACATTCAAGCTACTCAGTTTCTTTACACTTAGCTTCTCTTGTAAATTTTTAGGAGGAAATTTGTAGGGTTTAAAAAAAATTTTCCCAACTCTCATTACTATGGTAGCATCATTTTGTCCAACATTAGTTAGCAGGATGCCCCGAGGATATAGAGATATGGGATGTTTTTCCAATAGCCATTCTTCTTTCCAAAGAGAAGTTTCTTAAAGCTATACTAGCAAGGGTCAAATGGTTCCATAAAGAGCTATTTTGAGCTTATGGAAACCAGATCTCAGCGATTTATTTCCTTTTCAAAAACTATTAGGGTTTTCAATATGCTTTTCTTTCCCACCATTCAACATACACAGCCCAGATGAGATGTTGTGAGCCCAAATAAATGTCCCAGGTACAATTTGTGACCTAATATGAAAAGTGGTAGTAGAATAGATCTTCTGAAAACGGCTGGCAGTATTTACACAAGTTGAACACTGCTTTTCAGCATATTCTGCCTCCACACTTCTCTGAATTAAAGTGAGTAATAGGCTGGCAACTTCATTTTTAGTAGCAGGTGATTCACAAACAAGACATCGACAGGTTTTTATGATTATAGATTCCACAGATCCTAGTTTCACAAGAGTGTTCATAGAGATTTATGGTACATAGAAAAACAAATAAAAAACAGGAGAGATATAAATTGGCTTTTGCATTAGAACAAATGATGGACAGCCCTGACCACCACCTGGCGTACTCTGCTTTTTGCCAGCTTTTATTTCATTGTCTTTGACCTGTTATCATAATCTTCATAAGAAATAGTAAAGAAACCAAGAGGTAACAAAGAAGATGGGTGACTGGAGATGAATGTTTCCTCCAGCATTTATCACCCTTTGTAAGAAATGCCCTCCTGAAATGCTAGTTCCATAGAAGCACTCAAGCAGTACAGAGGAGAGAAGTGGGGGCTGCTATTTATTTTTTAAAGCTGGTGGTCAGTTCTCAGTCCAAGAACAAGGCTCGACTTTGCTTTCTGAATAATGCAGACATTTTCATTAAATTGAATAGGAATAAGAATGATAAATGATATATTGGCTGCCAAAACACAATGATATTACATTATATTTGCAGCTACCTTTTAGGATAAGCTTATCAGAAGTACACTTAGACAACTTAGATAGCTATCAGTATTGTTTCTTCATTTCACATTGATGTTTTAGGAATTACATTTCAAAGGACACATCTTCCTGACTGTGAGTTGGTAATGTCATATCCAAAGGGCAGTTCATTATTGCACCTAAAAGCTAAGTGTTGGCACAAATTGTACTAGACTATGAGATCATTGGAGTTTGGCCACCGACTTTACTTTTTACTCACATCTGCCTTTGGAAGACCCAGGGACAATTTAATTACAGTTGCACTTTTGATTCCTACTTCTTTCAATAAAAATGTAAAATTGCCCTGCTTGAGAACTATCAGACTAAAAGGTTTGTGATTACTTTTCACTGTCATCTGTCTTCCAGACGATTATCATGTTAAGTTGGTCATATTGACTTTGTTTTGAGGATGGAAAACTTTTTCTGATTCTCAGTATTATTAGAATTGATGGCAACACAACTACTCTCTCCTGATGTCTCCAGGTAACTTAATATATGATCCTAATAACAAACACAAGAATTAAACCATTAATAGAATAGGCTGTTAGCAGCTGCTTCAATCCCACTTTCATGGGCATTAAAATAGCTGATTCAGAGATTTCTATAGAGAAACTTTAAGTTAATTAAAGTCATCAAAGTCAATGGAATTACAATATCATCTGCCAGTAGCAATACAATCCGTGTACGCTGACATTATTACTCTAAAAGAAGGCTGTAGAAGGTCAAAAAGTATTTACCCAGCTTTACATTTTTGCATGTCATTTTGTATTCCCCACTTTTACTAAAAATCTCAAGTGGCAAGGAAAGGTCTTTTGTGTATTTATTCTATTCGATCAAAGGAGACTAATGATCACTCTGCTTTTTCTCCCACAATAAGTGAGAAGAAGAAATTGTACTATTCTGTGTGTGTGTGTGTGTATGTGTGTGAGTAGGGGGGGTCGGGGTATACCTATGTAAAAGTATTTCATAAGAGATTCAGTTTGAATTTATCAACGTATCATTTTTTGAAGTATTTATTCCACTAACTTCCTTAAAGTTCCAATTTCAGTTAAAATTGTCCATGCTCAACTAATTACTTCTAGCTGTGTGACCCATCCTGGCTGTGGGTTGAAGCATGCTGTTGAATTTCTGGACATGAACTTTGTGAGACTGTGGAACCACTAATGGAAATCCAGAAACCATGATTTTTAAAGTTGGCCTCGAAGTAAAAAGTGTTGTCATTATAACTGTGCATCTGAAGTGTCAGGAACTTTTAGATTCATTAAAAAAAAATTCACCTTGTAAGTATAAAATGTATGATGCAATGTTTGCGTATTTCTTACTTGACATATGTAGTCTCAAGGTCTAATATTTCATATTTTTGGTCTAATAAAATGAGAAGGCATCCACTGTCACTGGATTCCAGTTCACATAACATGTACTGCATCTATTAGATGGGGAGTCATCAGACCCCTTTGAAGTTGTGTTCTGGAAAGAAGTTATAATGGCTAGCTACTTATTCTCATCTTGTGAAAGCATTCATTTTATAATTCAGACAATAATTGCAATGGTAAATTCAAATGTCTAAATTTGGTTAGATATGATTTATCTAAAATAATTTTTAAAAATAAATTWAAAAAAATATTATTTGAGCCTGTTAAGTGAGTTGTGGGAAAATACCTTACACATTAGCAGGTGCTCAGTAAATGGTATTTGTTCACTTGTGTTGTTAAATCTCTACAACAAAACTTTGGGCCTCGATATTTCTTTTTACGGGGGTGTGTGTTCTGTTAAAACATGACTTAGCTTCTAAGCATCCTATTAATTTTATTTAGTATTTCTCTATCTCTTTTACATTTCATCTTGAAGGTTGTAATTTTTAGTTTTGCCATAGTATTTTATATAGTTTATGTTCATATAGATCTTGCTACAGTGGATTGATAATATTATTATTAGTTACATTGAAAATTCTGCCTCTAGCATACTCACAATTGGTGGTGGGCAAACCTCCCTGATTATCTACTCAGCATATTGTCTGGGTGTCTGTTGGAAAGTTACTAAGAATTGATATGACAGAAATCTCTAGGCTTCCCCACACTTCTATATAACTCAGACTCAGAATTTCAATATTTAGTGCCACCTTATTTTTGAACAGTTTGGTTTGTCAATCTTTGACTATAACTTTGCCATGCCGAGTCCAATCATTTTAGATTCTAAATATGAGAGATTTCATATCCCTGTACTGATTAGTTTTGGAAGCTGTATCTCATCCAAAATGATGTAACGGTACTTACAGGTGTCTTCTTCTTCCATGGAAATGCTGATCACATAACAGGCATACACAAAGCCAACCAACTGCAAAGGAAAAAAATAAGCACTTTACAAATTTATGCCAAATGTGCATGGATAGCCTATATAATTCAAGATATAGGAATGAAGTATATTTATTAGTAATGTCTATGACTTTGTAACAAAAAAGTCTTATTTTAAAAGAATAGTTGTAATTTAAAAGTCTTTTCATTTTTATGTCACCTTAATAGCTTTTTAAAAAGTACATAGGAATGGGAAAAAAATCTCTCAATTTCTAGATATTTCACTTAGACTTTGATTTGGGATTTACATATCAGCTGGTTATTCATAGTATATATTTTTAGGTTCTTACTATTTATAGAGCAATTTGTACTACATTCATTATTACTGCAACTATTTTAATGTTTAATAGCCACAAAAGGAATCAAGGCATCCTGCTTATAAATTAAGTAGCAATCATCTATTTAATTATTTAAAATGCTCTGAGAATGTAAATTCTATCTAGCTACTAAATTGTTTTGTTAATTATATCATAGGAAAACGCATTAACTTTCTGGTCATTAGTTAGTGGTAAAATGAAATAGAAGAGGTGATTTATACTTTGGATACTAGTGGTTCAAAGAATATTTATTTAAAAATTAAAAGTGTAGAGTGCAGCTTTTATAGATTTTTCATATTGTTTCCTGTACTTATTATACTGAGAAGACATTTTTATTCCACAGAGTCAGAGACACCACAATTCCTGGAGGATAAAATTGTCCATGAATCTAGTCTGGTCTAAAATTAATCTAAGTTCTTTGAGAAGTATGAAAATTAGCTACCCCAATAGGTGCTATAATTTATCTTTTTGCTTTTCTTTCCATTTTCAAAGTCTGCTTCCTCCCCCAGCCTTATTAGAAAATAACATTAGAAAAAGAAACTCCTCTAATAGTCTTGGTAGCAAAGACTGAAGTTCCCATGGCAGAGAACAGTATATCTCGAGTTTCCAATTGCTCGTGTGGATTAAGACACGGAGCTTAGTCTACCCAAAGGACATAAAATCAGCATACTATAATGACACAGCCATATCAATGTTTATAGCAGCTCAGCTCACAATATCCAGGCTCTGGAAACAACCTAGGTGTCCTTCAACAAATGAATGGATTAAAAAATGTGGTGTATATAACACAATAGAATACTATTCAGCTATAAAGARGAATTCGATTATGGCATCTGATGGTAAATGAATGGAACTGGAGAATATCACGATAAGTGAAATAAACCAATCCCTCAAAACCAAAGGCCAAATGTTCTCTCTGATTTGTGGATGCTAACCCCAAACAAGGGAAGTTAAGGAGGGGAATAATATAAATCCATTGTATTAGACAAAGGGAAATGAAGGGAAGGGAAGGGAGGAGAGGGGAATAGGGAAGACAGTAGAATTGATCCATCATAACTTTCCTAGCCTTCTATTTGTAACAGCCAGGGTAATGCCACATCACGTACAACCAAAAGCATGGGATCCTAAATAGAATAAGTTATACCATATATATATATGTATATATATATATATATATATATATATATATATATATATATACAATCTGCCAAAATACATTCTACTGTCATGTATAACTAAAAAGAACAAATTAAAAAAAAGATTTGGAGTTTATAAATCCATCTGAAGGCTGCATGGATGAAGGTCAAGAAGACCTGAAAGGCTGTGAGGTTAGAGTGAGCTGCCTGTGTGCTGACAGGTCCTCCCATGCCATGGACATCTTCCCCCTCATCTCAAGCCCAGTGAAGGGCTGCTTCAGAGAAGTACTTGGGGAACTTGGCACCCAAATTGCACGTGGAAGAGTCAAAACATAAAGGGCTATGGTTTGTGGGGTTTCTGGTTGAGAATGTGATGAGATAGTAAGGGTGGGCTTTGCAGCTCAGGATGTCACCGGTGCTCACAAGACTAGGAACCAAAGCCTCTGAACACAATTTCCCTTGCTGTTCTCCATTTTTATACCACCTAAGAGGACGTCCTGCCCAAACCTGGTGACCTCAGAGGAATGATGGTACTTTGGGCTCAGAAGGTGGATGGGGGCATTAAATAGCCTTCCAAAGGGGCTGATCATTCACAGAAACAGATGAGGATCCTAAAAGAGGGGTGGGGTGGAATTCTGAAGAACCCACAAAAGCATCCCTCAAGAGGCCAAGAGGAGGTCTCAGCTTTGGGAGTGGTCACACCTGGAGTGTATCTCCTGCCAGCTTGTTAACTGCACAGTCAGGTTAAGACCTCATTTCTTACCTCTTCTCCCACTACTCTTCCTTTCTTTTTTTTTTATTTTTTATTGTTGGTCGTTCAAAACATTACATCTAACTTGATATATCATATTTCACAGTTTGATTCAAAAGGGTTATGAACTCCCATTTTTACCTGTATACAGATTGCTGAATCACATCAGTTACATCAATTACATTTCCATTGATTTACACATTGCCATTCTAGTGTCTGATGAATTCTGCTCTCTATCCTAACCTCTACTATCCCCACCTCCCCTCCCCACCCCTCCCCTCTTCTCTCTCAACCCCCTCTACTGTAAAACATTTCTTCCACTTGTATTATTCTTCCCTTACCCCTCACTTCCTCTTGTATGTAATTTTGTATAACCCTGAGGATCTTCCTTTCATTTCATCCCTAGAATTCCCTAAAAGAACAGCTAGTGATGGGTGGAATGAGAAGAGGAAAAAGCAGGTATGTGTCTCTCACTGCAGATCTGTAAGCTAAAATCAGGCTCAAGTCGTGGGGCAGAGTTTTTAGTGGGTGAGAGTTTATATTGACCTCGAATGGACAGTTTGTTACCTGAAAAGGACCAAAAGACATTTAAATTCTGTTTGAAATATCCAAAGGGTGAGATAGAACTTGGCCWTAGAATGTATTTGTGACAGTGAATCAAGTTGCCTTTTGATGGTATTCTACCAAGTCCAGCTCATTCAGCCACCTGGTTGCATACAAAAGAAAAAAAAAAACCCAGCCAATCATCAATCACAAATAACTCTCTAATGAATTTCTTTCCAATCTTCTTTCACATCGTTCCTATATGTCACAGTTACACACTTATGACCCAATATTCTTCATAAGCCTAATAACTTATTAACTACATAAATCTGGATTATTTCAACATACTGTAATATATTTGAGCAATATTCTATTAACTTAAAGTTCATTTTCAAATTATAAATAACATCATGCCAAATATTAATGGTTTTTCTATAAGTTTCATTACTTGATTCACAGAGGTATAATTATAGTAAAGTGCCATTGATACTTCTATGACTTGTTTTTAACACATTATTAAATTGGTTTCAAAAAGTTTGTATCAGTCGTCTCTGGTAAGAACATGTAAAATCTTCTCTTGTAGCTCTTTAGAAGCAGTCAATATAATAAATATGTGCAATTATCACGTGTCAGTTAAAAACAACAAAAATAAGTTTTTATTATTTCTTATCCTACAACAGCAGTAACCAACAAAACTTGCTTTGCCATACCCTTAATATCACAGCATATTTTCATTTTAAAAATTTCAATAAAACAGACAAAACAGCATATGTACATGTATTTATTTTGCAATAGTGTTACCTAACATTTTCATATTGTTAGTTGTTTCTTATGAATTGTATACAACAGTTTGCTTTGCCCATTTATTAGTTTGATGTGGCTTTCATTAATTTATATGCAGTCTTATGAAGTAAAGCTATATTTATTGTGATTTTTTTCCCCTTTATGTCAGCAAGTGTTATGGTGTCTTAAAAACATTGTGATATTTTCTTACTAAATTGTATATTGGGAGGCATCTGCCATGAAACAATTTTCTTGTTTTGGGTGGACTTTCCTTTAGATGTGTGTGTGTGATTCATTGATGATTGAAACATTTCAGAACTAGTTTTTTGTACACAGATATAAATTTAAATGCTGAGTGCTAATAAGTTAGTTAACAAGTTATTAGGTTTATGAAGAATATTGGGTCATAAGAGTGTAACTGTGACATATAGCAATCTTGGAAGTTGCTTATTGGAGAGTAAGCACACAGTTGCAGAATAGCTTTTGTATTCCAAGTTTTTTTCACATCAAACAAAGGTAAGTTAAAAACACAATTTTAAAATCATTAGTTATTATTTTTCAGCAAGATAGAGGAGGTATCAGCAAAGATATATCAAAATATATTGGCTGGGTGATGAAGACTTTTCTAGTGTGAAGTCACGGCCTTCATGACAGCTCAATACTAACATAAACATTATTTTTCTACTGTTTTAATAAACTGTGCCTTTTTTAAAGGAATAAACCCTTTTTATCTATACTTTAATGTTGATTTAACAGTGAATCATTATCATTTTTAATAATGTCATTTGAGATGAGATCTCTAAAGTATATATTAGCATATTGTTCATTTCTTTGGCAAGGAACACATACTTTGGTATTTTCTAATATTGGCTCATTCAGTTTGGCATGCCTGGATCTATCAGCATTTATTGGTAAGACTGTCAGCATTTACTGGTTAGTCTATTGGCATTTACTGGAAAAAAGGCTGGAGGATTGATGAGAGGGCCCCTTGAGAGCAAAGTTAGTCATGTTGAAACACTATGCTCACATATTGATATGCAGAGATAATGTGGTCGAGTTGAGCCTGGAAACTCAACACAAGACCACTTTTGCTAGAAAATGAGATCCCACTCTAATGGTGAAATCTTGACCTCAAACGAAGTCTACACCACCCACCGCTAGCTAGTTTGCCTTCCTGCTGTTGTAACAGGCACAGAAAAATATTAACTACTAATAGCTGACTCATAAGTTATCTTGTTACATGTTTATACACTTAAAGCTACAAATCTAAGTACCTGCTAAGGAATCTGTATAATATAAAATAAATTTTCTTTTTGCAGGAAACTTTTATATGATTTAAATATAAAATGTCTTCCACGTTACACAGAAAGATTGACAAATGACTAAAGTTAAAAAAAAAACCAAAAAAGATAGATGCCAGTTTTGTAGTCCTTATCTCATTATTCAAATAAAG